TAAACTCCTACTATCTGGAATCTCCTTTCACAACCTTCCCAATAATTGGCAACCATTATCTAATTTTTATATCTTACCATATTGTACTTCTCAGCTAAGCATCTTTTATGCCAACATATTCTAATCTTCTGCCAAAGCAAAGTTACACAAAAATGTAAATGTAACCAGGACTTTAAATCCTCGTTTTGTACAGGTACTTTTAAGTAGGTGTCATGTGACAGTTCCTGCAGTGCTTACTCATGGAGCTGACCACAATCAAATATCTTTAAAAAGTACCTCTTGACTGAAAAGAGAAGAAATGGTCTCAAAAGAACATTGAGCCCTAATAGCATTGTCTTTCATTTGCTTTTTCATTTTCATTTTGGTAGTTGTGTCTTCAGGCTTTGTATCCTGGATACCTGCAAGGAAAAAGCAAGGTTAATAAAGCTCAGAGCTATTTTAAAAAGGCCCCTTTTGTATTTAGCTGAAACTCAGAAATCAATATGATGGAAACTGTGATCAATCAAGACTTGTGGTTCAATGCTTCTGATGCTGCTAATGCATTAGCAGTGGCCTCCACTGAATGAGCAATCCATTGGTTTAAAATCTCCCCATCTTGTTCCATTCCAAGCTGCTGTATCTACGCAGTCTGGCCCACAGCATCCATCTAATTGTTATCTGTGCAGCAATAACGGATATATTTAAAGAATTTAGGCCCCACTCTTGTGCGCCAAAGGATACCCCAGAGCCGATAACAGGATAATAAAAATAAGAGAGTTGTACTTACATGGTTACTATTGTTATGTGCCACACCAATAGCCAATTCTGTCTGCTGATCTGATTGCCAAAATGCCTGCTTTCCTGGAGAATGCATCCATACATTCAAACATGCTGAGCCTGCAATTACACGCATGCGCACGCATGTGCACACACAGACACACACACACACTCATTCATTCAATCATATCCCTGTACAAGGTAGTTGTCTTGGCAAGATTTTTTTAGAAGTGGTTTGCCATTGCCTCCTTCCAAAGGCTGAGGGAAAGTGACTGGCGCAAAGTCACCTAACTGGCTTTATGCCCAAGGCAATACTAAACCCCATAGTTTATAGTTGAGTGCCTTAAATGTTATATATCTTCTATATAAAGATAATAAAAAACAGCATATTTCTTGGGAACAGGAGAAAATGGGAAACATATTTAAGCCGGAATAACTTCAGTTTGCTTTCTTGGGAATCAATTAAACTTGTACTTGAGTGTTTATTTCATTACTCAACTCAGCTCAGCTCTCATATATATTCATTTCCTCAGCATACCTGTTTTACTATAATTTATTGTGTAAATGCTTTATCTGCACAGGTATTCCCTTGAGGGGCTGAAGTTACTGTCGGCTTTAGCAAATCCAAGCAATAATGCTGCATCATATGCACAGTTACCAACTAGCAAATCACAATGACCTCCCTTTGTGTCTAATTTGCAGTGAAACATGAAAAGGACTGAAAAACTGATGATGCTTGGCTAATATCCATGGGCATACAGAGAGAGAGAAAAACATGAGCTGGACTGTTTTTAATTCTTGTTTAGCATGCACAACAAATGTTCTCTTCTCCTTCTGTAGATGCTGCAGCGCTTCATCAGTTATTCAGTACGCAGCACACCAGATTTGGTACTGTACTTTAGAAAGCTCTCTCTCTCTCTCTCTCCCTCCCTCCCTCCCCCTCCCTCTCCTCTCCCTCTCCCTCTCCCTCTCCCTCTCAATGGGGATTGGTGATCTGCACTAATCTCAATGTCTTTTTGTCAAGAGAATAAATTACACCCCACATTTAGATACACATAAATGTACTGTATCTTGATGCTTCCTTTCCTATGTGTTCATCTTTTTCCTGATCATACAGAATCTTTGATGTAGCTCAAACAATACAGTGTGGATTTTGTTTTCGATGACCTAAAAAAAACTTGGGAAGTCAGAAACCAAGAAACAGATCCAACGACAGCTTTACTGTTCCTATTGATACGTTCCCATAGTGGCTTAAGGACATTTTTAAAGTGCTACTTTAAAATTCCAAAAGTAAGCTTAATTATATGTATTTTAAACCAGGGTGCTCTAGTTTCCCTAAGGATGATGTCACAGAATGAGTCAGAGGCATATGGCTGGAAGCCATTTCATTCAAAATGAGTTTTCTCACCATAGAAATAATGTCTGTATTTCTGCAGGTTCAGCAGTGAGTTTTCCATTGTTATGTTGGCAGGGATCTGGCTCACCCGCAAACTCACCAGAGGATGAGTAGAAATAACCTGAACATCATGGCTGTTGCTGCATGCCCCAGATAATTCTAATTAAAGCTCTTGCTGCTTCTCACATGCCTGGAATATATAAATGTTTGCTTATTTGGTGAAAAGAAAGCAGCACTCTATGCATGTGGTTTTATCATACAAATCATTTTACAGTATGCAATCCATAAACATTTCAGAAAGCTTCAAACTCATCCAAATATGTCAGGCTCCTTGATACCAGTGTGATTTAAGGAATTATTTCACCCAGTTCTTGGAAATGTCTTCATTATTCCATTGTTATTTCAATATGAATACAAGAGAAAGACATACTTATTATAGGGTTTTAAAACATGTCCTATCGTATATGGCTGTGGACTTGATCCCTTCAGGTATGGAGTAAGCTTTATGCTTTCCCAGTTCAGAGAACAGAATACACAGGAAATACATTATTCTCTGTCATGATCTTGCACATTTTATTGATGTTGTATGGAGATATATGGACTATACATTCCTGATCACTTCACATCTATAATTCCAAAATTGGGAGGATGGATGGACAGAGTGGAGATAATATGGATAGAGAGGCTCTGTTCCTATAAGTTGCACATGAAACCTGAATCCAAAATTCTGGAAGGGCAATTTATTAAGCGTAATTTCCTCCACATGCCAATAAGGGGGGATGCTGTTGTAACAAAAGGTTGACCTAGTCTGTAACTTCTTGACCTTAGGAAAAACAAACGCGGTTCAGAAATTCTACTTCAAGGTATGGGTTCTCCAGGGATCAAAGATTTGCAGAGCTTGTGGTGGACAGCTACAACAAGGCAATTAAAGAAGGAGAAATTGGTAATAGATTCTGTTAGCAGAATTGAAATCTATGAGAATGCCAAACTTTATTTGGCTGCAAAGTAAAATCAGCAAAATCACCCAAGCAGAACAGCATTAAGCAGCCACCATAAGAGCAAAGTATTTAGTTACTTAAAGGATTATTTTAATATGAAACAAATCTACCATCTTAGAAAAATAAGAAGCTTAAGAAACAATGTGAAACAGACTAAATAATAAATACAGAGTTTAATTTTCTGTGGCTCTAACACTACTTCAGGAAAAGAGCACACTAAATGAAGTCTGCCATATTTTGGCAGAAAAACTGCAGACAGCCACTGGATGACAATATCTTTCAAAGAAATATTTTTTTCATAGATATTATTTTAAACGGTACTTTATCATAATATGATTTTATTATGTTACTTTGAAAGTGCAAGTTGTAAGATAGACTATACACATTTTAAAAATGTCTAACTATAGGGATTTCATAGAATCATAAAGTTGGAAGATACGTAACAGGGTATCTGGTCCAACTGCCTGCTTACTGAAGATTCAATACACCATCCCTGTTAGATGACTATCTAGTTTCTCTTTGAAAACCTCCAATAAAGGGGAAAAGTACACCATACAATAACTTATGCTCTGGAGCAAGTAAGAATAAGTCCTAACCCTCTACAACATGGGTGTCAAACTTGAGGCCTGGGGGCTGGATGCATCACGTGCTGCCCCCCCCCAACCGGTTTAGCGAAGGAAGAAAAAGTCCCGATATGTCATGTGATGCCGCCATGATGCCGCGAGTTTGACACCCTCTGCTCTACAATGTGGTAGGCTTTGGATATTTAAATATAGTTGTCATGTCCCCACTCAGCTCTCTCCTCTGCTATCCAAACACACCAAGATCTTTTAACCAATGCTCTTAGGACTTGGTTTTCAGTTCTTTCACCATCTTGGTAGCCCTTCTCTAGACTTATCAATATCCTTTTTTTAAGTGGGGTATTCAGAATTGAACACAATACTCCAAAGCAGACTAAAGAGAGATAATTACTTCCCACAATCTGGACTTTATGGCCCTCTTCAAGATGTTAGTGGCATTCTTTGTAGCTGTGTTACACTGCTGGGCCATGTTGAACTTGCAATCCACTAGTACACCTGAGTTCTTCTCACAAGTCCTGTTCTTAAGCCAAATTTTCTCATTCTCCACATTTGTTTTTCTTAGTTCCTACATGCATAACTTAATGTTAACTTAACTGTTCTAGCCTGTCTAAATATTTTTGAATTTTTCCCTCCTCTCCCAAATATTATCCATTCTTCCTATTATTGTCTACAGATTTGGTAAGCATTCCTTCAAGTCAGTATGGTGAACCTATGGCACGCCAGAGGTGGCATGCAGCACCCTCTATGGGCACACGTGCCGTCACCCCAGCTCAGCTTTGCCACTCATGTGCATGTGCCTCCCACCAGCCAGCTGGTCTTCGGGTCTCTGCCGCACATTCACGAGGGCAGAGCACATGTGGGGGGTGCACATATACACGGGGCAGGCCACATGTGCGCGGCCGCACATGAAGGGGTCTGTGCATGCATGCACAGGGGCAGGACCACATGCGGGGGCCACACACACATTGCATTTTGGGGGTTCGGGAGCTTTGGGCACTCGGTCCGGAAAAGGTTAGCCATCACTGCATCAAGTCCTTTGTCCATATCATCTATTAAAATATTGAAAAGCACTAGGCTTTGTTCTTCCTTTAGACTAATCTGAACCATATTTCTTGTTTTGCTTTCTCCAGTCAGACATGGAGAAATCCCAAGGTCCTTTTGTGATCATTATTATTATATACAAATGTTTGCATGGGCTAGAGAGACAGAAACATCAGTGATAAACTATCATATTACCATATCTATATTAGCAAATTATACAAACAGCTGTTTCAAGGATATAGACGGCATTTCTTCAAGGCCATTTATTCATCTGCAATGTGTTCATAGTTGAGGAGTTGATTTATTTATTCATACTCCTGTGTCTTGGTGCCATAAATATATTGCTGCAACTGGATTAATTGTAGCAGCCACAGAGTCCTAAGGAAAAAAAGCAGGTACACCAACTTTGCCAAGGTGGATTATGAAGAGGCCGCACATGCTGAGATCAGATTGATGAGAAAATATTGCTCATCTGGTTTTGACAGAGCAAGGCAGGATTCCTTGCCATGCTTTAGCCAACTAGCCAGTTGAATAAAGAGTTGGTCTGCTGAGAGAAAATGAAAGATATCTTGCATAAGTCACTTGCTGAAGATGGGTGGCTATAGAAATTAAATGAAATCAATTACATAAAAATAAAGAAGCCAACCATGCATAGATGAAATATCTATTTCATCAGCTCCATGACCTGGGCTGGAGTCCCTGTGATCTCATTCTTTCATCTTATCCTTTATATTTCTTGAATCAAGGAATGCCATATTCCATAAATACAGGATATGATCCCATGTCCTATATCCCATGTTAGTATGTCTAACTTCATACCAGGCATGTCAATAAATCTCTTTTCCAGAAAGTCAACCCTTTCATTTGGTAGTGAGCTAATACTTGAAAATTTATAGAGGTGTAAATTGATTAGATCACTTGCTTTATTGCAAACAAGAAAAAAAAATGCTATACACAGAGTTCTCTCTACTGCAGAACATCTTTGTATATCAGAGACAGAGTTATATCCTAGGCTTTTGCTTCTGTTGTTTCCTGTCAATGGACTTTTGGGCATTCTTTTTTCAAAACTGAGCGATAGACATACTTCTTCCATATTTACCTAATGTTCTTTCTGGGCTGAACCATCGTGTTGACTTGTGCATTTAAGCTACTTCCTTTCTTATTTTATCCTTCCTCTCTCTGTGTCTCTGTCTCTGTTTCTCTCTCTCTCTCTCTTTGAAATCCACACAACTTAAAATTGCCAAGAACGAGAAACACTGCTTTGTTTGAAACAATTCTCCATGACCAGACAGTGTGTTGCTGTGGCTTCTCATTTCTCATTTCTCCTGACTCCTTGCCCTGCAAAATGTCTTATGACCCCTGGCCTAGGTATTATGGATGTTTTAGCTCCAGACTATCAGATTGAAATGAACCTGTTTTTCTCGCTTCCACTTATGCACCAGCTACAAATTACAAATTCTTTCTCTGCAGATCTTTCTCTAATTTACAGTCACTCAGTTCTGGCAGTACCTGCTAAATGATGTACAACCAAGTTAAAAAAAACCATTAGAAACATGCTAATTACCTCCTGCTTTTTCATAATACCGAGTAGCCTCCTGTTTTCTCCAGGATAAACTTCACTCAGCACCTCCTCAAGCAACAATTGGATTATGTCAAAGCCCAGAATCCTACAGTGTTTCATCTACAGCTTCCAATCCTTGTTTTTCTACTGGTCCCTCCTGGTGCAGGACAGGCAGACTGGAATATGTGATTTATTGGAAGATCTATCCAGACACAGATTGATCAAAAGATGCCTACCCCTTGCTTCCTTCAACAATTCAATTTCATTTATAATATCCTCACAAGCCATAACCCTTGACTTGAGTGAAGCTAAGAGAGGTAGAGAGAGTTAAAAGGAAGAGTGGTGGTCAATCAACAAAGAAACAAAAATAGGAGGATAGGCACAGTGCTAGCCACAACTGGAGAGAGGGAAAGGAAGATGCATCTGATTAAAGTCCACACACCTTAAAGTTGCCAAGGTTGCCAGAAACACTGCAACAAAGATACAGACTCTGAAATATATATTCATATAGCCAGAGTTCCTAGCTTTGCTTAATTAGAGCCATTAACATCCCCTGCTCCGAAGAAGTTTCAGCTGCTCAATGATCTTAAATAGGCAGCATGATTTAAGCCTTGGCATTCAGGCAAGGTCAGGCTCTGACTCTTTGCTATGAATTAGTAGTCCCTAGTGCCAAGTGGTTGATATCCTCTTGCCTTCTAAATTGCAGAATTTTTATGCTAGTTTCCCTTTTTCAGCCTTGGAATAAGAGAATTCCATAAGAGGAAAGGAACTGGGAGGACTGGAAAAGATTTGGCAGCCAGCACAGATGATTAGTGGCCTGAAATGATGACTGAGTAAAGGCATAAACTAAGTCATTTTAAGTCAGTTGTAAGTTAAAGATCAGGCTGACTTTTCTACTGATAATTTATAAAGCAACGAAGCTAAGGTAGAATTTATTTTCTCAATAGCTCCATCTGACTTGTGATGTAAGAATAAGTGGAGTTTCACATCAAAGAGCTGAAAAAGTGCTCTCCAAAAATGCCATGAATTATGGGCCTGTCAGAGGGTGGGAATGAGGGACAAATACTACAGAGAGAGACAGGAGAAGGAGGGAGAGAGAGGGAGAGAGAGACCGGATTTTTGAATATTTCTTGGATTTTATCTTTTGTTTGCTGCCCAGTATTTAATTGGATAGATGAACAGTCACACTGACTTGTTTATTAAATAAACAACTAAATGAAACCTGATTTGTTCTCCAGGCCTAATATAGGCAAGTTTCTTGAAATGATATACATGCATACTATATATCCATGCTTAGTGGACTGTGAAATGTGTAAATCCATACCTGAATTTGCTACCTAGAGCTCCTAAAGTAAAATTAAGAGAGTCTTATATACATTTTGAAAGCAATGTTCCTTTTTATATGAACTGCATTAGACAGCAGGAGTGGTGGCTCCAATTCTGAAGGAATAGGCAAGTCAGATTATCAGGATTTCAATGGCCTTGTCAGCTAGCATATGCAGAAGATAGGCCTTGACTCCTTCAATTTGCTTCCGCCTAATCCCACCTCCCCTAGAGTTACTTGGCCCCTTTTTCCACATCCAATTAGGATAATTTCTGGGTGACCCAACAATATATACCCTGTTTCCCCCAAAATAAGACATTCCCTGATAATAAGTCCAATCAGGCTTTTGAGCGCATGGCAATAAGGCCAAGCGCTTATTTCAGGGTTTAAAAAAAATATAAGACAGGGTCTTATTTTTGGGGAAACACGGTATGAGAGATACCCCAACACCCTATTACCTCTAATGGCTCTTGTCTTAGTTCTATCCAGAGAACCTATGCTAGTAACTGAGATACAGTGTAGCCTTACTAAATAATTTACTGATTGATTTCTGCTGCCACCATTGCTCAAGAAAACAATCCAAATTCTGTTTTACTCATTATGCCTATTTTGTTAAATAGTGGAAAAATGTATTTGTTTCGAAAGATTTATGCTATTTGCAACAGCTTTTAACGTATGACAAAGTTTATTTACTTAAAACATTTACATAGCCACCTATCTTATAACAAATTCTGGGCAGTTCCCAATCATAAATTAAAACATTAAAACCATATTAAATCTAAAAAACAAACATATTAAAAACAAAAACTCACACTAAGTCAAACTTCCTACATGCAATCACCTCATCTTATCTTCCCCCAGGGCTTGGGGGGAAAGCCAAGTCTTCAATGCTTTTATGGAAAGCTAGAAGGGTGGAGGTCTGCTGAACTTCAGAGGAAGCGTGTTCCATAGGGCAGGGCCTGCCACAGAAACAACATGCTTCCAGCTCCCATAAGATGGCAATATTTAAGGGACTGAACTAGGAGCATGCCCACATTTTCTGACCTGGTAGGAGGAACAGATGTCCTTAGGGAAAGGCTGTGCCGCAAGTTACTGAAGTTATTTTAATTCCTGTCCTTTTGGAAATCTAGCACAATTGTTTTCCTCTTCAGTTTAGTTTCCCTTTAATGAAAACCTGGCAGTTAACTGCATTTTTTGTTTATTTTTGGAAATTCTCAGGAGTTCCCTGAGAACATTGCTATGGCTTGATGGACTGCATCGTTTTTAAAAAGCTATTGATTTATTCTTTTAAAATTCTGGGTCAGCCTTCTTGCCACAGGTCAGCTACAATTGGATATATATGGTTTCTCTGTCTCTCAGCTAAAAAGTTCAGGCTGTTTGGGAATGAAAAAGATGTCAACTTTCTATATTGGTTAGTTCTTTAAAATACATGGATTCCCCAGTGCTTCATATCACATAAAAGGACCCTGCTAAAGTTGCAATGAATGGCAACTTTATATATATATGTATGTATGTATGTATGTATGTATGTATGTATGTATACATAACTTTATGTATGTATGTATGTATGTATATGTATATGTATATGTATATAGGTCTTTGGTTATTCGGGTTTTCTCCCGCGTAAAATTGGAAGTGTCTTGGCAACGTTTCGACGAAGTCTCATTCGTCATCTTCAGGCTGGTGTTTTCGGCTTCGTGCTTCTAGGAGCAATATATATATATAAATACTTTTTTAGTCAGGGTTTTTTCCTATGTAACTCAAGATGTTTATGTAGCCATAGTGGGGTGAATATCTCAAATCACCACTTTCAGGCTTTATCAGACATTTTGTGTTGTCTGTTCTGAGACTTATGGGAGACTGGGTTAGTACTATTTCTGTCTTATGAGACTTCTTCAGCCAGCCACACCCATATTTTATGACTCCTCCCTGTAAAGGTCAAATATTTATTTTTATTTTGTTCTTTTTAATTCATAGGTTCAAATGTAAAATACTTTTTTAGTCAGGGTTTTTTCCTATGTAACTCTTCCTATGTAAAAAAGTATTATACATTTGAACCTATGAATTAAAAAGAACAAAATAAAAATAAATATTTGACCTTTACAGGGAGGAGTCATAAAATATGGGTGTGGCTGGCTGAAGAAGTCTCATAAGACAGAAATAGTACTAACCCAGTCTCCCATAAGTCTCAGAACAGACAACACAAAATGTCTGATAAAGCCTGAAAGTGGTGATTTGAGATATCACCCCACTATGGCTACATAAACATCTTGAGTTACATAGGAAAAAAACCCTGACTAAAAAAGTATTATATATATATCTATATTGTACATATTATATGTTATATATAGTTATGTTAGATTTAACATACACTACTTATTATACATTAAAGGAATTGCTTTCAAAAATATGTATTGCATGCATGTTCTTTTTAAAAAAAGTCATTGATAAATACAAGAAAATTTATTTTAAGATGGGAAAAACTAAGGAGACTGATTTATCCATCACACACTCATAGAATGAAAGGGTTGGAAGCATCCGTGGGAATCATCTAGACTGCAATACAATTGCTACAGGATCACTAACAGACTCTGTTCAAACATCTCCAGCAAAAGAGAATCTACCATCTCCCAGGGCATATCTGGTCCATTGTTGAATTGCTCTTACTATTAAAGTTTGTTTGTTTGTTTGTTTGTTTGTTTGTTTGTTTGTTTGTTTCTGATGTCCAACCCAAATCTGCTTCTTTAATTTCAAATGCATTGCTTCTTATAGAGCAATTCTGAACAATTCATTTTATATGAGAGATATTGGAATTCAGTTATTATGTCTCATATCAATCTTCTGTTCTCTAAGTTAAATGCACCCAACACCAACACCTCCAACCATTCTTCATAAGTATTTTTCTCCATACCCCTTATGGTCTTGTTTGTTGTCCTCTGGAAATATTCTAATTTGTTCATTCAGCCCCCCCTCCAGGATTAAGTCCCGAACGAGGGGAGCCTTGTTAACAACAGACTGGGCATTAAACAGCAGCAGCCTGTGGCCAGGGCCCTGACATCCCAAGTCACCGGGTATACGAGGTGAGCCCGGTGAACCAAAACCAAAGGGGCCAGAACAAGTAATCGCTTTGAGGCAGTGAATCCTAGTTCCCTGAGAGCGGCCTGCACCTTGGCTCCCGCCATATCTACCTATAAGAGTTAACTCTTTTAACCAAGTTGATATGGATTTAGTAGAAAGTCTTTTTTCAAAGAGATCATCACACCCGCATGTTTACCACCAGCAGCAGCAGCAGCTACGTCTCCATCTTTGCAATACAGTCATATTTGGAAAAAAGACAATTTCCCAGAATGTCTTGAAAGAGCATTGCTTCAAGACATTTTGGAAAATTCACATGGCTGTGATTCAGGTATTTGGCCCTCATTGCTATGTCTTTATCTTTTTTCTACGAAGGCTCAGATCAAGAATCAGCAATAATCTCTGCCAGGCACTTGATGCCAACCATGTGTTGGGCCCGGACTTGTTTGCAAAAGAATCCAATAAAACAAGACGTCACAGTGCTTGGAACTGTGATAAACAAGCGGCCTGAGAAGTAAGAAATACTGTGCTGATGACATTTTCTCATTCTGCTCCTTTCTTCCAAATGAAATTTTCACTACATGTTCTTTCTTCAGCACTGCGTAATATTGACCAGTCTGTTACTTTCCTCTTCCAGGATTTACCAACCCACAAACTAAACTTAGTTGTTTTAATTTAATACTGTATAGTGCTGTTCTCTCTTATCCTAGGAAATCCATAATAATTCCACTAAATTATTTTTATAGTTACAGGTTGCAAAAGGCAATTCTCTGTTGTTACTAATCAAGAGGGTTTTTTAAACTAATCACAGCTGCTACTTAATGTTTTCCTAATTATGGAAAAGGTTAATCCATCTTTCAAAGCAAAAAAGGGCGCCCAAGTGATTGCAAGAAGCTGAGGCAATCATCTGGTATGAAAATGAACCCTTTAACTCAGTGGTCCCCAACCTTTGCAACTTGATGGTCCAGCCCAGTGGGAGGGCATGTGAATGGAAAGTGCATGCGCACACACACAACTCCATTTGTGTGAGCAGCATACAAGCCTTCCACTTGCATGAATGGAGCTTTGCGCATGAGTGGAGTGTGCTTGCATTCACATGCGAAGCTCCACTTGTATGAACAGAGACCGCTTGAGTGCAGGTCACTTGTGTTCATGTGCGAAGCTCCATTTGCATGAATAGAGCTTTGTGTGCTAGCAAAGTGCCCTCCGCTTGCGTGAGAGGAGCTTTGCGCACGTGCGTGTGCTTGCCCGCTGCTCATGCTAGTGGAGCTTCAAACACATGTACATGCTTGGTCGCTGCTCACACTAGTGGAGCTTCACACATTCATGTTTGCCTATTTCGCCCATGTCCCAGTTTCAAGTGGGCCACAGCCCAGTAGTGGGCCACAGCCCAGGGGTTGGAAAGTCTTGCTTTAACTGAGTCATGAAATACCAAACATTATTTTCCAAGTCCGAGGAAATTGGTTATTTATTTATTTATTTTTAGTAGGTACCATAGCTATATGTACTATCTGTCCTATCAGATGTTATTTTCTGGATTTTGTCTTCACATTGGCCATTGCTCTGCATAGTATAAAACTATTGTTTGGTTTTTCAATCTTTTAAAAATTGCTTTCTTCCACACAAGGCAGGGTGAAATGCTCACGGTTCGGACCGGCTCGGGCAAGTAGGTAGTGATGGCAGCGGGCAGTTTGGAGAACCGGTAGCAAAAAACCCTGCCCCCGCCCCCCATGCCCAGCTGAGCCCCGCGATCATCAGAGCCTTTTTTTCCTTTTAAATGGCTCTGACCAGCCGATCCCAGCTAAGTTGTTTGCTAATCAGTCAACTCAGCTTGGATCGCCAGAGCCATGTAAAAGAAAAAAAGTTTCTTCCCCCCTCCCCCCAGCCTCCAGCTTGCTTACCTTAGCCGCTGGTCGCAACGCTGTAATACCTGCAATCCATTATGCAATGCAAGCAACTGAATCTCCCTGCCTGCAATCAAGCTCATCAGTGAGCAGCTCTTTCTGCCTGCCTACCTTCCTGCCTAGACTTGTGGACTTCAACTCCCAGCAAAGCTGGCTGAGGAATCCTGGGAGTTGAAGTCCACAAGTCTTAAAGTTGCCAAGGTTGGAGACTCTGTTCTATTGGGTAAATTTTTTTCCCCTTTGGGAGCTTTAAAAAAATAGTTAATTGGGGTTTTTCTTAGTTATTCTTTTTTTAGACCTAGCCATTTAAAGTTTAGGAAGTTTTAAATTTAGCTGCTTTTATATAAAAATAAAAATAAATAAAAATAAAATAATATTTGTGCAGCTTTCTGAGATTTAGTGTGTTTCTGCAGTGTTTCACTCTAACTACACAAACACACAAAATCTCACAAAGCTGTATGTGGAATTTTGTGTGTGTAAAGTGTGAAAGTTGGTTTTTTGGGCTTTTTGTGGCTCTGTGAGGTTCCTGCTTGTTGCAGGGGCCATTTTGGGTCTAGCACAGCTGCTTTTACATTGTGGGTGAGCCAGTTGTGTTGTGTTGTGTTTTGTAGGTTAAAAAAGGGCAAAGAAGTGACATTGACTTGACCACGCCCACCCAGTCACCTTATCACCAAGCCACGCCCACTAATTAAGCCACGCCCACAGAACCGGTAGCAAAAAATTTTAGATTTCACCCCGCCACAAGGTAATTGTCAAGTTTTCTATTGGATTATTTAGATTAAAATTCTGTACTGGGTATGCATACAATAAGTTAAAGAATCAGTAGAACCAATAATCTTCATTTAGCAAACAAAATCGGGATCAGCAATTCGGTCATTAAATGAAGTGGCTGCCAGGTGAAATTGCGAGTGGGCTTATGATCTTACTTCAGCTTTCCTTTCCTTTACAGATCTGTGAAGATTGTGAATGCTAGAAACCGGTTGTAAAGTTACTTTTTCATCAGTATTGTCACTGAAAATGGTTTCTAAATGAGGTGTTTCACAGTTTTCTAAACAAGTAATAGTAGTGAAGGAAACTCCAGAAAAGAAGGATACAAGGAGTGCCACTGCCATGACAGCTACCCTTAAATCTGAAATTCTAGCAACAATATACACCAAAATGGCAGAGCTAAAATGGAACACGTTTGTGGATAAAGCATAGATGAGGGGCTCAGTTACATGTTGGGATGGTAACTCTCAGAATTCCTAGTAATGCAGCTCAGTTTACGGGAAATAGTGGGAGCCCTAATCCCAATCAGGGCCCAGCAGCTAACAGTAAATTACATTGTGGGAAAAAGAAATTGCTTCTGGACCTCAAACCTGAAGTGTGAATCCTTCTTATCTTAATTTGGCAGCAGTCCCTGTTTCTGTTTCCATCCCTACTTCCTCCCCATGGCAAATTAAACTACAGGTAGTTCTTGACTTACAACAGTTCATTTAGTGACCATTCAAAGTTACAACATCACTGAGAATTAAGACTGATTTTCACACTTATGATTGTTGCAGGATCCCCAGGGTCACATGATCAAAATTTGGAAGCGTAGCAACTGGTTTATATTTATAACGGTTGCAGTGTCCCGAGATCATATGGTCCCATTTTGCGACCTTCTGACAAGCAAAGTCAATGAAGGAAGCCAGATTCACTTCACAACCATGTGACTAACTTAATAATGCAGTGATTCATTTAACAAATGTGACAAGAAAGGTCGTAAAATGGGGCAAAACTCACTTAACGGATGTCAAAGTTTGGACCGAATTGTGGTTGTTAAGTCAAGGACTACCTGTATTCCATCTGCAATCCCGGTTCATATGACCAAGTCCTGAAAGAGAAATCATCCAAGATGGACTCAGCTGTCTTGAATGCTCAGGCAGGGATAAAAATAATTAAATAAAATGTATAATAGGTTAGTGAATGATTTGATTGTATGGATCTTGTAATTCAGGTTTGCATCTCCAAGAGCAATTTCTCTCTCTCTGTAACATTATCTGTTGTTGCCTGTTGAGGTTGCAAAAGAGACCCAGAGCTTGTCAATTCTTTTTTGTCTCTGTAAAGTGAGGGGACGGGATGGGACCATGAATCGCCCTTTGGAAGGAGTTGGACTTGTGACAGATAGAGCTCCAACTCCTTCCAAAGGGCAATTCATGGTTGGTTGGTTTTTCCTCACTTTACAGAGAATGAAAAGAATTGACAAGCTAATGTTGAAGCCTAAATGCGGGACCTCCTGATAAAATACATATTTGATCTCAGCTTCGCTATTTATTTAGAGACTTTTAATACTTCATTCACGAGACTATCTGGTAAAATAACAGGAAAAGTGCCTGTGGGGGATTTTAACGCTACACATTTTGGTTTTAGATTTACTTTTGATTCCAAGGTTTTTAATAAAAATATTTTTATTTCTGCATAATTGCAGAACAACAGAGGACTCTGGTTTAAACAGGGGAACAGAAGTGTCTCCTGGATGCACATTTGCTGCACTAGAGGGAGTAGGACTCTCGTGTCTGATATGGGCAGCTCTGACTGAAATCAAGCCGATATATTCAGAATGCTGCATTGAGACCATCAACAATCCAATCCGAAGCTGCTAAATACACTTCAGTGAAGCATGAAAAAAAAGAGTAGAAGAAAACTCTAGAGCTCAACGTGTAACAAGCCTCTTCCCACAAGAAGCCCAATTTTATCCTCAAAACTGCATATTTAAGCTCATTAATAATTGGAGATCAGCTGCCAAAGTGTAAAAAGCTATACAGTCAGTCTCTCTCTTTCTCTCTCTTGCACACACACACATGGAGAGAGGGGTGGGAGACGGGGGGAGAGAGGGGGAGGGAGAAAGAAGGGGGGAGAGAGTAAATATGATGTAATACTGAGAAGAAGTAACAAAAATCAAAACAGATTTGTGCATCAATGTTAAGATATACTACTTGGGGTCTAGGACTTTTCGCCTTGGTAGCCGAGGAGAAAAGTTTGTGGTTAATAATGCAGAGGTGAAAATCTCAAGGTGAAACAGGCAAGGCGAAGAGACCGAGGCGAAAAGTCCCATTCCGACTACTTGTTGATACAGGTAGTCCACGATTTACTACCACAATTGAGTCCCAAATTTATGTTGCTAAGTGTGAAATTTGTTAAGTGAATTTTGCCCCATGTTATGACTTTTCTTGCCACATCTGTTAATCATTGCAGTTGCTAAGTTAGTAACACAGTTGTTAAGTGAATCTGGCTTCCTGTTCTGCCCCAGCTACGGACCCCAAAGAACGCAGCACACACAAAGTCTGTTCAAATATTAGTTTACTAAATAAACCAGTTTTTTACAACAATGGCTGTTAATTAACTGCATTAACAGTCGCCAAGAATTCAAAGAATAATACTGAAAGCTTACTGTGGTTGGCAGAATGCCCAGAAGCAATTTGCAGAAAGCTGAGAAAATAAGCAAGACAAGACACGAAAGTATGTGAACGAAGTTGTTCCCTGCAAAATGCTTCAGTCGGCGATCCTCCTTAAATAGGCTAAGGGAGTGGCCAATTAGCCCCAAGCATTACTCTCGAGGAGACCTCCTCCTGAGGAGCCACTCCTGCCTTTTGGCAGCTCTGCGCGCCCGTGGATCGAGAAGAGGCTCCTCTTCATCCTCTTCACTTATGGGAGCTTCTGAAGGCCCTGGCTGAATCCCCGCCTCTGGCACCACATCTTCTCCAGCCTCCTCATTGTCTGACTCGAGTGCCAGCTGCACAGGCTGCTGGTGCAGCACCACACCAGCCTCCTCACCGTCGGAATCAGCTACTAGCTGCACAGGCCGCTGACGGGCCGTAACACTTCCCCATTGACTTTGCTTGTCAGAAGGTTGCAAAAGGTGATCACATGACCCAGGGACACTGCAACCATCATAAATATGAGTCAGTTGTCAAGCATCTGAATGTAAATTACATGACCATGGGGAGGCTGCAATAGTCATATGTGTGAAAATCATAATCATAATCATACGTTTATTTGTCAAGCATATATAAGATAACAGGTAAAAGTATAAACATAATTTGAATACATGAAAAGAGTAAGTAAAAAGGAATATTAGGACAGGGACGGTAGACACGCTGGTGCACTTATGCATGCCCCTTACAGACCTCTTAGGAATGGGGTGAGGTCAACAGTAGACAGTTTAAAGTTTTGGGGGTTTGGGGAAGAAACTACAGAGTCGGGTAGTGCATTCCAGGCATTGTCCACTCTGTTACTGAAGTCATATTTTCTGCAATTGAGTTTGATCTTAAGTCGTTTTTTCAGTGCCATTGTCACTAAACTAACTGTTCTAAGTTGAGAACTACCTGTACACACATGAAAGCTGCAAAGGCTACTTTATCACTCTTGAAAACACATTCCTGTCTTCAACTAGCTGGCAATACCACTTTCTATAATAAGATGGAAAAGGATATTGCTAAACCTATATCATTAGGTTTAGGTTTAGTGATGAATGCCAAAATTATTGCAACACAGTCTGCTCAACTAATCACGTAATCCCCATTAATAGGAAAACTAAAAAGTATGTCCTCTCTGGCTTCTAACACAAAATGTTTTCTTGTTAAGTAATTATGCCTAAGGTAATTAGGTACGTTAAATTTAGTAATGTAAATTATAATACTCCTGTTGAGGTAATTACCTGATTAGATAGAAAACCCAAAGTGGGAAGAAAATCAAAGCAAACACATAGCCAAAAAAGGGGAGGCATGTCTTTTGGAGTCAGCCTGGTCTGCATCTAGAGACGCTAAGGGCATGAAGAAAATTCAGCAAATTGTGACCAAGACCAAGACCAACATCACTATCTGAAGTTGGCCTTAATTGTTGCACGCACAGATCTAATTCTATCATTCTTCACATTCCATGTGTATAGAGAAGGTGTCTGAAGGAAAGTCATAAGTATAATCACTTAGACTTGAATATAGTAATCAATACTGCCCAGAAAACTGCTTCCAGTGAAGCCCAGAATCCCTTGGAGAGATCTACTTGAATTCAATCATAGAAATCGTAGAAACAAGGTCTTCTAGTTCAACGTCCTGCCCATGGTGTGAGATTTTATACATTCCTGGACAAATGGTTGTCCAATCTTCTCTCGAAAACCTTCATTGATGGAGCAACCACAACTCCAGGACGTAAGCGGTTCCATTGTTCAATTGTTCTCATTG